TGTAGAGTGTGGGTTCTTAGTCTTCCAAGTAGATGCACAGAGCCACAGAAAGTGAGTGACTTTTGGCATGGAAGCTAGAAGTCGCTGCCTTGGCATGGACCAAGTCGGAAGAGATGGGGGGGGTGCTACTTACCGGGCTGGCACAGTAGGCGAGGGCCTGCAGTCTTTAGTGAGACTATTTCGGGCATCTCCCCAAACATGGCAGTTGCACCCTTGTGGGTATCCCGATCCTGCGGAAAGGTTGATCCGACGTTTGGGCGACGTGTCGCCACTCCGCAGTACCACGATGCGCAACTCGGTGAGTCGATGGTTGTTTACGAGGCTTTGTGGCTGATCGCCAAATGTCCCAAATCCCTTTCACCGCCCCTTCCAAACACATCATTACCCTAAGAATTCTGTCTCAGGTCTCATGGGTCAAAGCCAGGGGTTGCAGGATGTTGCGGAGCAGAGCATGTGTCATGAACATGGAGACTAAAGAGTTGAAGCGCAGATTTCGGGCTGCAAGAGTAGTAGCGGGGGCGCCAGGATTTCAGGGATATTCCCCCTAATATCAACCCTCCTTCAATAAAATCTCGGAAAGTGTTTTGTTGTCTCTACTGCTACTTTTGAGGGGCTCGTGCTCTAGCGTTTGCTCTTGCGCTGGCTTTTGCTCCTGCTTCTGCATCCCTGGCGTGTGCTCCTGCTCTGGCTCTTCTCTTGCATCTCCTGCTCTTTGCTCTTGCTGATGCTCCGCTTTTGCGCTTTCTCCAACTGCTGCTATTGCTCTGGATCTTGCTCCTACTGTGCTCTAAGGGTATTTGGAGCCTCGAAATCCCCCTAATTCAGAATAGGTTTTCAAGGGCAGGGACGATTTCGGGAGGATTTGCCCCAATGTGTTTAATTTAAGGGGGGTGCTTAATGAAAGGGGGAAGTGATAAAGGCATCAACCGTACCGGAACGGACTGCGAGGTCAGGCTTCCACAACTCCTTCAGCGCAGTGGCGCACGAGGCGGTGCGACTCTCAGGATGGAAAAAGCTAGGATGCCAGAAGCGGACGGTCTGTCAGGGCATTCGGGTTTCAGGGTTGCGTTAAGGCTTCTGCATACATATAGGATTATTGATTAGGAGGTACGTGGTTCAGCTTCTGGCTTTGCAGTTCTTATGCGTTTAGTCACAGCCTGCCATCGATCTTCTTCTTAGTATGCATCTAGGAATCTAGGGACATACACACAGAATTGAAGTCATGCAACTTTCGTGCTTGAGCTGTGAAAACGCGACGTTCCTCACCTGTAAGCTAATGTATATCCTGATTGTGTAGAACAGCATAGGATGATGACAACTTGATGTTTGGCTCAAGAGTGAAAAGGCGCGTCTTGAAGTTGGCGCTGCTTTGGGGGCTGGGGGCTGTATTGCCAAGCTTGGAAGAAGAAATCCAAGACAGCACGTTCCTGATCATGCCCTTATCTGCAACATCTGTTTCAATACTTGGGTGCATCGTTCGGAGGGACTGCGCTGCACCGCAGTGGGCTGCCCGTACTAAAGCATAAACATGCAGTAAATTCAGCACGGTGTCTGCCTCTTTGAGGGGTAGATCTTGCGTGGGGGGGGGGGTGGCTAGTAGGCGCCCCCGCCCCTAGTAGTTGTAGCAGTGGTAGTGGTGGTAGTAGTAGTAGTAGCAGCAGTAGTAGTAGTAGTATCAACGCAACGAAATCGGTTTTACTTGCAGTCGATTGTTTCAATGCCGACATTGCATACCCTGCCTGTATATTGACATGGTCGGACTGGCGACTAAGAGTGCTCCGGTTGCCATGATCAGTGCAGAGGGGCGTGTGCTTATGGTTCATTCATGGCCTTTTCCTTCTGGACACACGGCAGCTGTCAGTTAGCCAGAGGCAGTCTTGACGGAGATTGTAGTCAACGCTTTGAATGGGCACGGTTGCCCTATCTTACTGTTGTTGGAATCTTTTGCATAGGGGCCATGAAGAGTCAGTGCTTCCGAAAGTCTTGACGTCTACATCTTGAGTTGATGCTTTGGAAGTTTAGGGAAAGTTAATAGGGCTTAGGCTTAGATAGTTTAGCACCTTGTGACAGGGTGGTTTCGAGTGCGGAGATGCCAGACCACCAACAAAGACCATGAGGGTTAAGGCTGTTTAAGCCCAAACTCACACCAGACATGTCATGAAGGCGGGTTTTTGGCCCATAGGGTGGCTAGCTCCTTTCTATAACGACGCAAACATTGAACGCCGTTCGAGCGTCAGCAATATGTTTGAGCGCCCGAATGCCAGTAGCATTGTTTGTTTTGTAGAGTGTGGGTTCTTAGTCTTCCAAGTAGATGCACAGAGCCACAGAAAGTGAGTGACTTTTGGCATGGAAGCTAGAAGTCGCTGCCTTGGCATGGACCAAGTCGGAAGAGATGGGGGGGGTGCTACTTACCGGGCTGGCACAGTAGGCGAGGGCCTGCAGTCTTTAGTGAGACTATTTCGGGCATCTCCCCAAACATGGCAGTTGTACCCTTGTGGGTATCCCGATCCTGCGGAAAGGTTGATCCGACGTTTGGGCGACGTGTCGCCACTCCGCAGTACCACGATGCGCAACTCGGTGAGTCGATGGTTGTTTACGAGGCTTTGTGGCTGATCCCCAAATGTCCCAAATCCCTTTCACCGCCCCTTCCAAACACATCATTACCCGAAGAATTCTGTCTCAGGTATCATGGGTCAAAGCCAGGGGTTGCAGGATGTTGCGGAGCAGAGCATGTGTCATGAACATGGAGACTAAAGAGTTGAAGCGCAGATTTCGGGCTGCAAGAGTGGTAGCGGGGGCGCCAGGATTTCGAGATATTCCCCCTAATATTAACCCTCCTTCAATAAAAACTCGGAAAGTGTTTTGTTGTCTCTACTGCTACTTTTGAGGGGCTCGTGCTCTAGCGTTTGCTCTTGCGCTGGCTTTTGCTCCTGCTTCTGCATCCCTGGCGCGAGCTCCTGCTCTGGCTCTTACTCTTGCATCTCCTGCTCTTTGCTGTTGCTGCTGCTCTTGCTGATGCTCCGCTTTTGCGCTTGCTCCAACTGCTGCTATTGCTCTGGATCTTGCTCCTACTGTGCTCTAAGGGTATTTGGAGCCTCGAAATCCCCCTAATTCAGAATAGGTTTTAAAGGGCAGGGACGATTTCGGGAGGATTCGCCCCAATGTGTTTAATTTTAGGGGGGTGCTTAATGAAAGGGGGAAGTGATAAAGGCATCAACCTTACCGGAACGGACGGCGAGGTCAGGCTTACACAACTCCTTCAGCGCAGTGGCGCACGAGGCGGTGCGACTCTCAGAATGGAAAAAGCTAGGATGCCGGAAGCGGACGGTCTGTCAGGGCATTCGGGTTTCAGGGTTGAGTTAAGGCTTCTGCATACATATAGGATTATTGATTAGGAGGTACTTGGTTCAGCTTCTGGCTTTCCAGTTCTTATGCGTTTGGTCACAGAACTGCGATCGATCTTCTTCTTGGTATGCATCTGGGGACATACACACAAAATTGAAGTCATGCAACTGTCGTGCTTGAGTTGTGAAAACGCGACGTTCCTCACCTGTAAGCTAACGTATATCCTGATTGTGTAGAACAGCATAGGATGATGACAACTTGATGTTTGGCTCAAGAGTGAAAAGGCGCGTCCTGAAGTTGGCGCTGCTTTGGGGGCTGGGGGCTGTATTGCCAAGCTTGGAAGAAGAAATCCAAGACAGCACGTTCCTGATCATGCCCTTATCTGCAACATCTGTTTCAATACTTGGGTGCATCGTTCGGAGGGACTGCGCTGCACCGCAGTGGGCTGCCCGTACTAAAGCATAAACATGCAGGAGCTGCAGCACGGTGTCTGCCTCTTTGAGGGGTAGATCTTGCATGGGGGGGGTGGCTAGTAGGCGCCCCCGCCCCTAGTAGTTGTCGCAGTGGTAGTGGTGGTAGTAGCAGTAGTAGTAGTAGCAGTAGTAGTAGTGGTGGTAGTAGTAGTAGCGCATCCCCCCCCGGTGCGACGCCCAGACCTCTTATTTTTGGGACTTGTTGTGGTCGGAAATGCTGTGTTTTACAGCACTTTTTTTCCGCAGTTATCGAAAGTGGCAACTGTTCCTGGTTTCGTGTGAATTTTATCATGTTTTCTAACATTGCTCATCAATCTCGCAGCCAAAACTGCTGGTATTTACAGCACTTGTCTCTGCGAAGTTCATGATTTTTTGCTGTTTTTTGAAGTCTCGATTTTTCGTGCCCAAAACCTAGCGATCAGAATCAAGGTTTTTTGGCCTAATTTTGATCATGACGTTCATGCAAATCGTTGGAAAAGAGAGCATCCATGTCCAAAACCTAATGACGTCCATGGTCTAGGGCATTGAGTTTTGGAGAGCATCCATGTCCAAAACCTAATGACGTCCATGGTCTAGGGCATTGAGGTTTGGAGAGCATCCATGTCCAAAACCTAATGACGTCCATGGTCTAGGGCATTGACGTTTGGAGAGCATCCATGTCCAACACCTAATGACGTCCATGGTTTAGGGCATTGAGTTTTGGAGAGCATCCAGCTCTGATGGAACATGTTGTACATCCACGAACTCAGCGACCGGCGTCGCACCAGGGGGGGGATAGGGTAGTAGTAGTAGTAGTAGTAGTAGTAGTAGTAGCAGTAGTAGACGAATCAATGCAACAAAATCGGGTGCTTCTGGGTTCGAAAAGGCCATCTCATGTCTCCAGCGCCAGGCGCAGATTTCGGAGAATCTGTCCGATGCTGGAGCCCCGGTATCTCTCTCCTCTGAGTTTAGAAAGTGATGGCATGAGGTAGGACCCTTACGCGGAGTTGGTCTTTCTGTTTGATGACATCAGTGGGTTTACGCCAGTAAGCTCTGAAAGTCATGGGCTCTGTACGTGAAACCGGCGAGGCACGAGACTCCAGGCCCTAGCAAACAGACCACAGAGGCCATGAAGCCTCTCCGGCGTCGCACAGGGTCCTGAACAACCCTGTTTGTGGCCATTGCCTCGTGGATTCGCCTGAGGTGCCTATGATCCGTTCGGACAGCACTAGCACCTCGGCCAGCGACGCCAGCGAGCCGCAGCTTTGGTGCAAGGCAGGGTATTTATGAACGCGTGCCAGTATGTATGTACGTATGTATATATGTAATAAAATATAAACAGATGCATACATGTACAAATAGAGATATGGGTACAAACGTGGAAAAGGATACAGAGAGATAGTAGCATCTCTTTTTGTGCGCAATTTGTATGTATCTACAACATATATATATATATATATACATACATGTATGCATATGTACGGGGAGGGAGGGGGAGAGAGAGAAAGAGTGGGTGTGTGTGTGTGTGTGGCGAGAGAGAGAGAGAGAGAGAGAGAGAGAGAGAGAGAGAGAAAGAGAGAGAGAGAGAGGAGTTGGGGTAGAGCTGGTGTTTTGGAGATCATGGGGATTCACAGGGTACAGGCCAGGGTGTTGGTTGCCGTAATGGCTGTTTGGGCCGTAGGGTGTTCCTCGTTCAGCTTGCTGAGCAACCTACATCTTGCAGATACGTTGTGCCAAGGGTCAGCAATATGTTTGAGCGCCCGAATGCCAGTAGCATTGTTTGTTTTGTAGGGTGCGGGTTCTTAGTCTTCCAAGTAGACGCACAGAGCCACAGAAAGTGACTTTTGGCATGGGAGCTAGAAGTCGCTGCCTTGGCATGGACCGAGTCGGAAGGGAGGGGGGGGTGCTAGTTACCGGGCTGGCACAGTAGGCGAGGGCCTGCAGTCTTTAGTGAGACTATTTCGGGCATCTCCCCAAACATGGCAGTTGTACCCTTGTGACAGCCCTTGTGGGTATCCCGATCCTGCGGAAAGGTTGATCCGACGTTTGGGCGACGTGTCGCCACTCCGCAGTACCACGATGCGCAACTCGGTGAGTCGATGGTTGTTTACGAGGCTTTGTGGCTGATCCCCAAATGTCCCAAATCCCTTACACCGCCCCTTGCAAACCCATCATTACCCTAAGAATTCTGTCTCAGGTATCATGGGTCAAAGCCAGGGGTTGCAGGATGTTGCGGAGCAGAGCATGTGTCATGAACATGGAGACTAAAGAATTGAAGCGCAGATTTCGGGCTGCAAGAGTAGTAGCGGGGGCGCCAGGATTTCAGGGATATTCCCCCTAATATTAACCCTCCTTCAATAAAAACTCGGAAAGTATTTTGTTGTCTCTACTGCTACTTTTGAGGGGGTCGTGCTCTAGCGTTTGCTCTTGCGCTGGCTTTTGCTCCTGCTTCTGCATCCCTGGCGTGTGCTCCTGCTCTGGCTCTTCTCTTGCATCTCCTGCTCTTTGCTCTTGCTGATGCTCCGCTTTTGCGCTTTCTCCAACTGCTGCTATTGCTCTGGATCTTGCTCCTACTGTGCTCTAAGGGTATTTGGAGCCTCGAAATCCCCTAATTCAGAATAGGTTTTAAAGGGCAGGGACGATTTCGGGAGGATTCGCCCCAATGTGTTTAATTTTAGGGGGGTGCTTAATGAAAGGGGGAAGTGATAAAGGCATCAACCTTACCGGAACGGACGGCGAGGTCAGGCTTATACAACTCCTTCAGCGCAGTGGCGCACGAGGCGGTGCGACTCTCAGAATGGAAAAAGCTAGGATGCCGGAAGCGGACGGTCTGTCAGGGCATTCGGGTTTCAGGGTTGAGTTAAGGCTTCTGCATACATATAGGATTATTGATTAGGAGGTACTTGGTTCAGCTTCTGGCTTTCCAGTTCTTATTTCTTATGCGTTTAGTCACAGCCTGCCATCGATCTTCTTCTTAGTATGCATCTTTGAATCTAGGGACATACACAGAATTGAAGTCATGCAACTGTCGTGCTTGAGTTGTGAAAACGCGACGTTCCTCACCTGTAAGCTAACGTATATCCTGGTTGTGTAGAACAGCATAGGATGATGACAACTTGATGTTTGGCTCAAGAGCGAAAAGGCGCGTCTTGAAGTCGGCGCTGCTTTGGGGGCTGGGGGCTGTATTGCCAAGCTTGGAAGAAGAAATCCAAGACAGCACGTTCCTGATCATGCCCTTATCTGCAACATCTGTTTCAATACTTGGGTGCATCGTTCGGTGGGACTGCGCTGCACCGCAGTGGGCTGCCCGTACTAAAGCATAAACATGCAGTAAATTCAGCACGGTGTCTGCCTCTTTGAGGGGTAGATCTTGCGTGGGGGGGGGGGTGGCTAGTAGGCGCCCCCGTCCCTAGTAGTTGTAGCAGTGGTGGTGGTAGTAGTAGTAGTAGCAGCAGTCGCAGTAGTAGTAGTAGTAGAAGAATCATCAATGCAACAAAATCGGGTGCTTCTGGGTTCGAAAAGGCCATCTCATGTCTCCAGTGCCAGGCGCAGATTTCGGAGAATCTGTCCGATGCTGGAGCCCCGGTATCTCTTGTGAAGCGCACTCTCTCCTCTGAGTTCAGAAAGTGATGGCATGAGGTAGGACCTTTACCCTGAGTTGGTCCTTCTGTTTGATGACATAAGTGGGTTTACGCCAGTAAACTGTGAAAGTCATGGGCTCTGTACCTGAAACCGTCGAGGCACGAGACTCCAGGCCATAGCAAAGAGACCACAGAGGCCATGAAGCCCCTCCACCACCTCGTGGATTCGCCTGAGGTGCCTATGATGCGTTCGGACAGCGCCAGCGCCTCTGGCAGCGACTCCAGCGAGCCGCAGCTTTGGTGCCAGGCGGGTTATTTCTGCCCGCGTGCAAGTATGTATGTACGTATGTGTATATATATAGAGGTATAAACAAGGACATAGATACAGAGAGATAGTAGCATTTTTTTGTGCGCAACTTGTATTGTATCTACAACATATGTTTATATATATATATATATACATATACATACACAAGTAGCAGTAGTAGTAGTAGTCGTAGTAGTAGTAGTAGTTATAGTAGCAGTAGTAGTGGTAGTAGTAGTAGTAGCAGTACTATCAGTAGCAGTAGCAGTGGCAGTGGAAGGTGGTAGTAGTAGTAGTAGTAGTAGTAGTGGTAGTAGTCGTAGTGGTAGTAGTATTATCAGTAGCAGTAGCAGTGGCAGTGGAAGGTGGTAGTATAGTAGTAGTAGTAGTAGTAGTAGTAGTAGTAGTAGTAGTAGTAGTAGTAGTAGTAGTAGTAGTTATAGCAGTAGTAGCAGTAGTAGTAGTAGTAACAGCCGCAGCAATAGGAGGCAATAATAAAACAAATACTGAATACAGATGGAAGGAGGAGGAGGAGGAGCAGGAGGAGGAGCACCAGCAGCAACTGCAGCAACAGCCACCAAGCCGATACCGAGCCGAATGCATGGACATGTTGGCAACAACACTCAACAGCAGCAGCCGTGTTGACAGTAAGATTAAGACCTGCGCGAGCATGATTTTCGTATGAGTTGAGTAGCACTGACCCCATCTTGATAGATGCTGTTGCATGATTAATTTCAATGACAGTCAAACTAATTTCTGCAGTTCTTGGGCCAGCAAAACAAACGGCACACATGATATCCGTCATGATCTGTTCCAGATCTGGTGGGCATAGCTGCAGTCAATACTCGTATCAACATTGTGAAAACATGGTATCAATACGGATACACTAACCACCCATAGTAGCAGGAGTAGTGTGTAGTATAACATAGGGGCCTCAATAATTACCAATACTGTTTTCGGGGTTCCTTATAATACTAATTTTATCAAATACCCCAAAACCCCCTTTTGTTTCTTAAAACCCTATATAATATAGATCGCCCATAACCCTTCAAGAACCCTTCAAAAAAACCCGTTGTAATTGTTAAGGTCCCTACATTCTACCCGAGACGCCAAACTCAGGCCGGTCTGCCAAATCGTGATGGTCGCGGTGCCGATGCCCGCGTTTGAAGTGCGGAGCGTTGGGTGTGGGATTTTTGGGGTTTTGTGAAGTCTGGATGTAGATTTCTGCGGGATAAGCCCTTAAGAGGGTTTCTGTAGGTTTTTACATGGTGTAGGAGTATGGGATTTTGGTTTTGGCGGGGTTTCGGGGTCCGTCAAGGAACACTCCTTAGGTCACCATCGGGCTTGTTCACAATGCCTAAGGCCGAAGGTTTAAATCCCTGTATATCAGGACTTGGGCTCGCAGGAAGAATTGAGCATTCGAGGCTTGTGGCAGAAAAGGGCTGCGTTTCACGGCAAGCCTTTCCCTGCGGCATCCCCGGAAACCCAAGGCTCAGAGTTTAGCGGTCGGGTTGAGGTATCTGCAGCACTGCACTTCGCTCCTCTGGTGCGTCACTGTTCTTGTTTACCACAGGGTCACGTTCGATTTTTGGAAGCCCTGTCGAAGCAGTTAGCTACTCAGCACTGTAGTGTGTAGTGATTACGTTTTCTGGTGGTTTAATATGTTAACATGATCAACTTTTCCGTTCTTCGTCTACTACTGCTCCTGCCTCTCTTGCAACAGCTATTAGATTCAATCGGAATAGGAGTAGTAGTGGCACCGCTGCTACCACCGCTACTACCCCACTACCATCGCTGATACCCCTGCTGCTGCTGCTGCTACTACGACTGTTTACTACGACTACTACTGCCACCATTACTTGCTCGATGCCGTCAGTGGCAACTTCAGCTTCTATTTTCGAGCACAGTAGCGGGTGTGGGGTTCGTTGGTGGGTTTGGCCCGGCCCATCCCGGCCCCCGACGCCCTAAACCCTGAGCCCTAATCAGGCGAACCCGCTTCGTCATCATGGTAGCTTTGTGATCTCCAAGACTGACGAAAGCTGCCTTTCGGTAGAATAGGGTTGGAACCTCTAGGATGACGTACAACAAAGCCTTCTTCTAATTATCCAGCCCCCAGTTCCACATTTGCATGCTTTGCTGGTGCTGCTGACGGTAGAGCCACCTTGTCTTGTTGTTGGTGATGCTGCTGCTGCTGCCAGTGCTTCTACCCGAACCCCTCAAAGAGGTGTTTCCGGTTTCTGCCAGAGCCAGGGGCCCGTGAAACGACGGCCTGAACACACTGAACAGTGGCTTGCTAGGATTCACTTGATTTGCAGAATTCTTATGTGTGTGAGAGACGCATGGGACGGTTGAAAGCAGTAGACCCAAAGTCGAACTCCCTGCGCGAGCTTCACGGCAGGTTCCACTGCCTCTGATGCTTAATCTGCCACTTCTCCGCTGCATTCAGCCGCTGCCTCTTCCCGCGAAAGCCGCCTCCGCAAATGCGTCCAACTTCGTGCTTTAGCCTGATACCAAGAGTGGCGAGAAACATCATAGCAGTAGTATGAAAGCGTGCCAGACTTCGTGTCTATAGGGTCTTGAGTCTAGACTACGTACTTGTATGCTTAGTCTGATAGCTAGGGCTCTCGAAGTTTGACAGGTGACTTTGCACAGCAGCTGCTGGCAGATTCCTTTGTAGTGGGAATGCTGGGTAGATCGCAGAACGGAGGCTTTTGATATCGGAAGGATGTGATCGTCCGCAAACTAAGAGGTGAAATCAAAAGTTTTCTTCAGTGTTTCTGTGTTGTAGGCTGTCGGCCTACACTGTGAGTACGCACCCGGCCGCCTTTGAGGGTATGCATGCCCGCTTCGGATGGCTCGTTCCAGTCGGAACAGCTGTACAAATCGGCTGCCTGCTGTTGCTGAGCAAATCCGCCTTCCTGCGGCGCTGCAGGAAGATGTGCACTCTGCAAAATGCCCTGCTACGATTTCATAAGCGACGAGCCTAACACGAATATCTTCTTAGATATTTCAATCTTCTTATTTTGATATTTTGCTTGAATATTCGATAATTTCTTCCATCAAGAAAAATAAGTCATTCTAGTGATATTGATTCTAGATCATCTTCGAAATCGTCTTCATCTTATCTTTCTTCAATATTATTGCCGATTGAAATTGATTGATTATATAATTTTTATAAGTCGTATCTTGCTGATTATGATGGTATTTTTTATATTTGCTGATATCCCTATATATATAATTTTATTGCCATCTTTATTCTTTTTAATTTCTTTTATTATTATATTATCGAATTCATTATATTATAAATTTCGCATGGTATTAAAATTATTTATTCTTATTGGGATTATTTTGAAGATGCGCATTATATTATTCAGACTTCTTTTTTGAATTATTTTCTTTTTTAGGAATAATCGAATGATTTCATTATTATCTTGCATAAATCTTATCATTTTTATTATGATATTTCATTTTAGGTTGGTTGGAATTTTCTCTATATTTGATTGATATAGAAAAAAATTAGATTTATTTGAATTTAATCAAAAATATTAAATAAATCTAAATTTTCTGAAAAATTCGATTGAATTTATTTTGATTTTTTAGTTATTGGTATTCTTTCTTTCTTTTCTTATTGGTATTAATAATTCTTATAAATTATCTATTGGATCGTCTGATTATTTTTCAATCTTAGATTTAATCGATTCTTAGTCGAATAATTTCATTTCTATTTCTATTTATTTTAATATTTGATTTTAAATCTTTTATTCTATTTTTTATGATTTGCTATTCCGAAAATACTTTTAATATGATTTTATTAAATCTATAGATTGCTTCTAAATTCTGTTTGGCTCTGAAATATATTTATCTTATTAATCTTAATCTATATGATATACATATTAATAATTGAAATTATTTTTCTTTAAAATTATTAATTTTTTGTTTGTATATCTCTGCTTTTACGCTTCATATTTCAATATATGATATTTCTAATATTGTTCTTAATTTGATTTATTTTGTGATTTATTATGATTTCATTTTTTAAATGTTTATTTCTTCTGCATTTATTATTATTTTATTTGGCAATATTTTATTTATTTATTCAATGAAATTTTTTAAAAGAATATATATATATATATGTGGCATGGACCATTAGGGTCTATTTGACAATCCTATTGGGTTTTGTATTTTTTTCTATAGCACTACCACGGCGACAAGGACGACGACGACTCGGTTTAGCACGACGACGATTGGGTTCAGCACGGCGACGACAAGGTCTGGCACGACGGTTACATCGGGAGGTCGAAGCGTGTACAGTGTAAAGGTCTCGACAGGAGTTTAAGGGTCTAAGGTCTTAGCTCCTAACTATGGTCTATGGAAGATCTAAGGTTTGGAGTTTATGAGGATTTAGATGATTTTACGCTCTCACAACTCGGACATGCCAGGCGACGTTCTCCGTGCTGGTTTTAGGGTAATGTCCTCCCGTCCCTCTCGCGCCGGGAATCATCAAGAATCTGTCTTGTGTATCTCTCGTCCTGTTTCTTTCTCTTATTTCCGTTCCTCTTCTTGCCTATCCACTCTTCCTTTTATCAGGAATAAATGACCCCCCGTTCCTCTTCCTGCCTATCCACTCTGCCGTTTGTCAAGAAGACACAGAAATTGAGGTCATGATAGAGGAATAGGCATGAAGATGGACGAAGTGAATTCTTCATTCTCTCATCTCTCCTTCTCTCCTTCTTTTGATTGATCTTTTTTCTCTTTCTTTTCTTCTCACCTTCTGCTTTCAATGACAGGGGTAACACGAGGGAGGGGCAAAGGGACGACGTCAGTTCCTCTCGACGTGATTCTTTTTTTCATTTCCTCTCGCGTTGTCTCTCTTCCGCCTCTCTCTCTCTCTCTCTCTCTTTTTCTCGCTCTCGTTGTCTTCCTCTCTGCCGTGTCTCGCTCTCTCATCTCTTCTGTCCCCTCTTCCCTTGGTTCCTTGCTGGAAAGAATAGAAAACAGAAGCGAAGATATAAGATGGAGGAAGATGTTTGGGAGAAGGAAGGTGGATTCCTCCCTCACTCGGCTCTTTGATTTTCTTTGCCCTTGTCCTCTCTTCTCTGCTCCTATCCTTCTTCACAATTAGAAGGAGAAGCGACAAGAACGGAGAGCTAAGGGAGAGCAAGTGACACGTTCCTCATAATCTCCCCCTTCCTCGTGTTCGTTGTGCTGTCCATCTCCCCCTCGCTCGCTCTCTCTCTCTCTCCCTCCATCCTTTCCTCTCTACTTCTGCACATTTACTTTTCTATTTCTCTCGCCTACTACATTATGCTTGCTTTGATATTTACCTTTAACTTTCTCTCACTCTCTTTGTCCCATCGCTTGCCCCGTTCCTTCTCCTCCTCCCTTCCCTGCCTCCCGTCCTTCTCCCCTTATCACTCAGAAGGAAGAAGGAAGACTCACACGGAGAAAGACAAGGGAGTAAGAAACCAGACAAAAGAAACGGAGAGAGAATCCAAGAAAGGAGCCATAAGGGACGAAATACAGAAATAAAGAGAGAAAATAAGAGGGAAAGTCAAAAAAGAGAGACTGAAAGAGGAGGCCATGCATAAAGCAACCGACAGTGCCTTGACCTCCACGTCTATTCATTCTTTGTTCTTGTCCTATCACACTGTCTCATTGGTGATAAACCAGGAAGAGCTTCTGGAGGGAGACGAGGAAGAAGTGTTCTCCTCTTCACTCACCTTGTGCCCTTCCTCTCCCACCGCTCGCCCGCTCTCCTTTCTTTGATTTTCTTGTCTGGCGGAAAGGTGGTAACCAGGAAGGAAATTGGAGAAGGGAATGGACGAGATTGAGAAATGACAGAAAGAAGAGAGATACAGAGAGAGCGAGGGAGACCTTCAAGCCCAGCAGAGGAAGAAGAGAGAGGAAGATAAGAGAAGGGGGCAAGGGGTGGCCAGAAGAAGTGTAAGCCAAAGCTACGTATTGAAAGGGCGGAAGCCCCTGTCTCCTCTTCTTCCTCTTTGCTCTCTTATTTTTCTCTTAGCGCAGGGCATGCATGGAGCTAGGAAAGGGGAGGGGTCAAAGCGGATGAGAGAAAGTAGCGGAGAGAGCTGTTCTTCGTCCCTCTCACCTCCTCCTCTCATTCTTCTGATGCTTACTCATGTCAGAAGGGTCTGGAAAGGAGTGAAGGCTAGGGCATGGACTGAAGCGAGGCAATAAGTGAAAGTGGATAAGAGAAAGTCATAGACAGAGAGTGGGGGAAGTCGAGTGCGAAAGAAAGAGAAACGAGGAAGACTAGGAAGAAGGACACAAAAGAGGAAGCGAGAGAGTACCAGTGTTGCCGTATCTCAAAGGACTCCGGACCTCGCGAGGGCTTTGAGGAGGCTTGTAGGCGCGTTCAGGCATTTCCACAACTTTCTGGAGGCCACCAACTTCCTCCCTAAGGGAGCCTCCCGAGGACATGAACACCAAACCGAGTATAAAGAAAGCAGGGGGATGTAGAGAAACAAAGTGTGGTAAGAAGGAGCTAGGAGAATCAGTTCGCGTCTCCTCCTCGTGTCCTATTTGAATGACCAAAGGAAAGAAACGGATAAGGAGAAAACGCTCTGCGAAGACATCAGGAAAGAAGAGCAGACAACAGAAAGGAAGCGGTAAGATGCGGGAAGACGGTTCGGAGAAGAAAGGAGAATTCCTCCTTCGCTCGCCTCTCTTACTTCCTTGCCCTTCGCCTTCTTCCTCTTCTCTTACCCTATTCATCTTCATAAGGAAGGAGAAATGAAGGAAACGGAGAGTTCAGGGCATGCAAAGGGCACTCTTTCGCATCACCTCATCCATCCTCCTTTTCATTGTTCTCTCCAGATCCCTCTTTCTCTTTCCCTCCCTTCCCGTCTACTTCTGCACATTCCCTTTTCCGCTTCTCTCCACCTATTATGTTCGCTTTGATAAAATCGCTTGCCCTATTCCTTCTCCTCCTGCCTTTCTTGCCTCCCGTCCTTGTCCCTCTATCACTCAGAACGAAGAAGGACAATTCACAAGAAAGAAGCGTAAGCCAAAGCTACGTAATGAAAGGGCGGAAGCCCCTGTCTCCTCTGTTCTTCCTCTTTTCTATCTTATTTTTCTCGTAGCAAAGGGCACGCATGGAGCTAGGAAAAGCAAGGGGTCAAAGCGGATGAGAGAAAGTAGCGGAGAGAGCTGTTCTTCGTCCCTCTCGCCTCCTCCTCTCATTCTCCTGATGCTTGCTCATGTCAGAAGGGTTTGGAAAGGAGTGAAGGCTAGGGCATGGACTGAAGCGCGGCAATAGGTGAAAGTGGGTAAGAGAAAGTCATAGACAGAGAGTGGGGGAAGTCGAGTGCGAAAGAAAGAGAAACGAGGAACCTGCAAGGGACTTGCACAAGCACTCCAAGAAGTTTGCTCCGGCATGCTGTCTTGATTTTCCCTCGTCG